ACTCAGAAAGGTGACAGAAGAGACAGCCAAGGAGACAGAAGAGACACTCGAGGAGACAGCAGAGGCACTAGAGAAGGAGACAGAAGAGACAGTGTAGAAGGAGACAGTCTATAAAAGAGACAGAATAAACAGCCAAGAAGGAGGCAGGAGAGACAGTTTAAAGGAGACAGCGGAGACAGTTGAAATATCTATAAATAAAGATAAGACCCACCAGTTAAAACAGCATAAAGGAGATTCATTTTATTTTCGTATTTAACTCGCGGGATCCCTTTAGGCTTGTCTGCTCCTAATAGAAATGCTTCTTGCGTAAAACTAGCAGCAATATGCCTATAGAGACTCCTAGGCCTGAATAGAATAGGTAGGGAAGGACGAGCAGAAGCCAAGACAACTGGCAGCAGCGGAGGCAGCGGGGGTCTCTTTCTCCTGCTGCTGCTGCTGCTGCTGCCGGTGCCGCTGGTATGTCTCCCCTGAGACAGTAAATATAATAAACCTCCAAAGCCAGGATAAGAAGTGCCTCGAGGATAAGTAGAATCTACGCCGCCTAAGTAGGCTCCTGTCCCTTTGATCCTCCAGCCTCCGCTCGCCACGCATGTATCATCAAAGTCCGTAGCTACTGCAACTGTCTCCCCAACATCTTTTAAAGCATATAAATCTACTGCAGAGGAGACAGCAGCAGCAGGGTAATCATGCCTAGTCAGAAGCCCCAAATCACGCGCGGAGACACCTGTTCTTGACTCCACTATCAACGGCCAGTCATCAAAACGCTGCCCACGCACAGTCACACCTGCGACGCAGCAGCAGCAGCAGCAGCAGCAGCAGCAGCAGCAGCAGCAGCAACAGCAGTAGGAGTAGGAGTAGTAGTAATAGGCAAATATAATATATATATATATATATATTTTATATATGTATATATATTATATATATTATCTATATATATATATTATATATATATATAAATATATGAACCCGCGTTAATAACGCAACATCTAGCCACCGTTAACGAAGCCCCTAAACCCTAAACGCTAAACCCTAAACCCTAAACCCTGCGTTTCTTACTTGCTCTAGTCAGCGCCAACTCCTCCACAGACAATCCGGCTGAACAAACAAACACCGGCGCATGCAAACAGCAGTTAACTTTTTGATAGATAAAAACAAAATAAAGAAAATAATAGACCCCATACTAACTGCTTCTGCTGCAGCTGCTGCTGTTGCAGTGCAGCAGAAGCAACAAAACCAGCTGCAGAACAAGCAAAACAGGTGCAGCAGAAGCGGAACCAACTGCAGCAAGATCAGAATCAACCGCAGCAGTTGCATCAGATGCAGCTGCAGCAGCATCTGCAGCAGCAGCAGCAGCAGTAGCTGCAGCAGCAGCAGTAGAGACTACTGCTTGCTACCTACCGATGGGTTCGCCACTATGGCTGCGCCTCAGCAATCTTTTGAGTGAGCGTCCAGCTACTTTAACAATCCTTTTAATCCTGCGCATTACGCTGTGAGCTGCAGCAGCAAACGCACACACCGATTGCTGCTGCTTTCGCTGTTACTGCTGCTGCTGCTGCTGCTGCAGCTGCTGCTGCTGCATTTGCTGTTGCTGTCTGTGAGGGATCTTATTTTATTCTCTGTCTCTAATCTGCTGCTTGCGCTGATATAAGAGCGCCTTCAACTCTGTTTGCTGCTGCTACAGTTTGTGCTGCAACTGCTGCAATTGTTGCTGCTGCTGCAGGATTTGTTGCTGCTGGTGCTTCCACGATGCGTGCATTACTGCTGCTGCTGCTGCTGCTGCAGCGGTTTGTTCTTATTAGAGCTTACATGCTGCTGCATTAAGGATACGCTGCAGAGCAAACATGTCTTGAGAGAAGGCACAGCGTAGCTCAACTTCTATGTTGGAGCTGCCATGATGTCTGACTGTAGAAAAAACACTTTGCAGCATAGCAACCTTTGCTGCTGCTGATAGCTTTCTTGCTGGCCGAGAACGCAACAAGTTTATCATCTCCTCTGCAGCACAAACAGCAGCAGCAGCAGCAGGAGCATTAGAAACAGCAATGGAAGCTACAGCTGCTGATGCAACAGCAGCAGCAACCAGATTGAAGGTAGTCTCCTAATGCAGCAGACTTTAGAAACAAAGGCAAAGGAGACAAACTGCAAACGACTGTGAAATGCTGCTGCACTTATCTCTTTTGCTGCAGCAGCGGGACACTGCAGCAAGAAGGTTGTGCGAGGGCAGCGACCAATTAAACTGCCGCAAGAAAAGACAGCGTCTGCTGCTGCTGCTGCTGCTGCTGCTGCTGCTGAACTTACTAGCAACGCTGTCGCAGTGGAACTCAGCAGCAAAACGAGATAAGAGAACCTCCCCGGCTGCTATACCATTCTGCGGAGACACCCGAAAGGAGAAGAAGGAGGCAGCAATAAGTGTCTCCTTTCTTTGATGTTACGCAAAGGCAGCGAGGGTTTAGGGTTTAGGGTTTGGAGTTGAGCGTGCATCACCTTAAGAGTGAAGTCTATTACTCTAGCCAAGTCTATAGGATGCATCAAGCTTGCTGCTGCTTTAATAGGGGCTAATAGATCTAGGGTTTGGGGTTTAGGGTTTGGGGTGTATGGTGAGTGTGTATTACCTTAAGATTAGAGTCTTGAGTTTTAGCGAGGTGTATAGGCTGCATCAAGCTTGCTGCTGCTTTAATAGGGGCTAAGGGGTCAGCATTGCGTGCGCCAATCCTTATAAATACACTTTTTAAAGAAGAAGGAGACAGAGTAGGGGAATCTAAGCCCTTTGGGTTAGCGAAGACAGGAGAGACAGAGCCGTCTGGTTTAAGATATGCAATAAGTGTAACACTGCCGACGTATAGTTTAACTGCATATACACCCCGCATATCATGCATGCAGCAGACAGTTAAATTTAGTTTTGTTCATATTATTTACCTTTGCTACTCTATTCAACAGATAATCTACATAAGCAGACAGAAGAAGAGACAAAATATACAACAGACAAGGAGACAGATAAAAGAAAGGAGACACACTAAAAGAGACACGTTAAGACACAGCAAATATATATATATATATGTATATATTTATACATATATATATACATATATATAAAAGAAAGGAGACACACTAAAAGAGACACGTTAAGACACAGCAAATATATATATATATATGTATATATTTATACATATATATATACATATATATATATGCATAAATATATATATATATATACATATATATACATAAATATATATATATATAAATGAGGAGACAGAAGTAAAACCACTAAAAGGCATAATAAAAGAAGTGGCATAAAATAAGAAGAGACAAATGAAGAGACAGCAAAGGAAACAAACAAGGAGACAGAAAAAAGTAAAGAAGGAGACAAACAAGGAGACAGTAAACACATAGTAATAGGCGGGGAGACAAACAGACAAAAAGAGCAGCAGAGACAAGGGGACAGAAGTGCATAAGCAGAGACAAGGAGACAGAAGTGCAGCAGCAGAGACAAGGAGACAGAAGAGCAGCAGCAGAGACAAGGAGACAGAAGAGCAGCAGCAGAGACAAGGAGACAGCAAACGGAGACACACCGTTTGGGTGTTTGCCTAATGCATTCAAAACCATCTTCGTTGCTTCTTCTGCAACTCCCTGTGCTGAGAAAAGGAGACAAACAAAGACAAAAGGAGACAGCGCAAACAAATAACAAAAAGGAGACAAAGGAAGAGACAGAAAAGACTCCGCATGCACTCCAACTAGTAGCGTCGCTGCACCATCCCCTAAACCCTAATCCCTAAACCCTAAACCCTAAACCCTAGAGGGTGCTTACTGCCTAGGAGGAGTCTGAGAAGCAAGTGTACTCTGGGGTTAGGCGTAGGGCTTGAAAGGTCTAAGAAGTCATCTCCTTCCTTTGCCCAAAGGCCGCAGACAACAAGAGCAACAGCTCTTAGGCTAACTGCAGAGATGTTAGCTAGAATAGTTTTCTCTATTAGCTCTGCATACTGCGCGAACTGCGCATTGAGCTGCTCATACACCTTGTAGGGCACCACTCCTTCATCTATACGCTGCAGCGCTTTCTTTACTTTCATCCAGGCAGCTGTCTCCTTTCCTGGGGGGCCTGTTATTGCCTCCAGAACAGTAACTGAAGAATATACACTCAACAAACCCTAAACCCTAAACCCTAAAC